CAATCACATTGATGCTTGTGTGAAAGTCGAAACGACAGTGTCGATTGGACGCTGTCAAAAAATGATTCTTTTTCTACATAAAGGTCGAAAAAGACATTTTTGGGGGAAAATTGTTAGCTCACAAGTTCGACGCCAGATATATATATATATATATATATATATATATATATATATATATATATATATATATATATATATATATATATATATATATATATATATATATATATATATATATATATATATATATATATATATATATATATATATATATATATATATATATATATATATATATATATATATATATATATATATATATATATATATATATATATATATATATATATATATATATATATATATATATATATATATATATATATATATATATATATATAGAGAGAGAGAGAGAGAGAGAGAGAGAGAGAGAGAGAGATTAAAATATTTAAATAAAACATTAAAGTCTTTTGAGAGGTGAAAAGAGGTTTTCGAAGCCTTGAGACTTTCGATTGGGAAGCCAAATATTGTGGGACTTAGAGAAAATTTTGAATCTTAGCCTTCGACCGAGATGCTGGCTGGAGATTAGTGAAGTTTTTGAAATTTAAATAATGTAGGGAGTAGTTATGCTTTCCTATGACTAAGAGGGACAAGTGGCGTTCGTTTGGCAAAGGACTTCATGCATTGTGACACTTGTCGGAAGCTGATGGCTTTAGGGGGTTATTGATAGTTATTTTTCACTATTATAAATAGAAGTCTTGGACATAGAATTCAGTGTGTTGTAATTTACTATTTGTGCAAGTCACTCCTAAATTTACTCAAAGTATCTGAGTGTAGAGAAAAGAGTATCAAGGAGAATGCACGTGATGTAAACACACCATTTTTTTTTACTTTTCAATGAAGTTTAACTTATCTGCTTAACTTTACAAAGTGTTTATTTGCTTTTCTACAATCTACCCCCTTCTATGTACTTTACTTTATCTTCGTCCTAAATTACTTTCTAAGATCCTTATTTCTTTCCTTTTAAATTTCTATCTTCTCTTTCGTTTTAGTCGAACAAACACTTTTATGATTAAAGCCTTTTTCTAAACACTGTCGAAGTGTACAACTTAGATAGATTTCAAAACATAAAACCTTTAGCACATGTCCTAAGATCAATCTGATCGATCCTGTGAGTCACCAAAGTTAGATTTGGAAGATCAGCGGTTGTTTTCTATTTTTCGAGGGAAACACTTATGCCCTACCTAATGATGCTTTTTGTCATTTTAGACTTGGACACATTTGTATAAATACAATGAATACATTACATTCTCAATTCCCTTTTCATCAATATATTTAATAAATTTTCTTGTGATGTTTGCCCCTTTGCTAAGCAAAGAAAATTTTCTTTCTCAAATAGTTTAAGTAAATCAGCTCATGTTTTTTTATCTAATACACCTTGATATTTGAGCCCTATTACAATTCCTTCTATTCATGGTCACATTTATTTCTTAACTGCTATAGATGACTGTAGTAGATTTAGTTGGCTTACTATTATAAAAAAAACAAAAGTAAGGCTAGACAACATCTTATTGATTTCATAAATCTTATCTTAACCCAACATAACCACAAGGTCAAAATTGTTAGAACTGACAATGACTCTTAACTCAAAATATCTTCTTTTTATGCTTCACATGGTATTGTTCATCAAACCTGTTGTGTGTAATTTCAACAGCAAAATGGTTGTGTGGAGAGAAAACGTCAACAAATTCTTAATATTGGAAGAGCCCTTCTTTTTCAATCTAACTTACCAAAGTCTTATTGGTCATATGTTGTGTTACATGTTGCATTTATCATGAGTAGGATCCTAACTCTCATACTTCAAAACAAATCACCATATGCTATTATGTATCGTCAAAATCCTAACATGAATGATCTTAATGTTTTTGGATCTTTGGCCTTTGCATCCACTTTACTAGCACACAGAACTAAGTTTTGCACCTAGATCAAGAAAATGCATATTTCTTAGATATAAAGCTCGTATGAAAGGTACAACTCCATTAAACCTCCATAATAAAGAGATATTTGTCTCTCAAAATATTATACATCATGAACACATTCTCCCTTACAAACCTTCACCCTCACATTTTACTTGAATATATCATACAAATCATGACCATATAATTATATATGACATACTTGACCAACATCAACCTCAAAATCCAACTCATACCACTGAAAAATGTCATAATAACCAAAACCCTATTGACATTTCATATCAAAGTCCAAATCAGCCCATAGATCAACATATTACTACTTCACCAATTGAAATATCAAGTATCAATGATGATGTTTCTATTCATCATAATTCCTCACATCAACTACAAACTAGACCTACTAGAAATAGACATGTTCCATATTATTTGCATGATTACATATGCAATGCTACCTCCAGTCACACAGAGTCATCACCTTCCGATATTCTTTACCTTATTACATCCTTTCATTCTTATGATCATTTATCTCCTTCACATAAGGCAATTTCCATGCTTGTCACAAATTATATTGAGTCTATGACCTATAAGAAAGCATTTCAGCATGATTGCTGGTTGAAATCTAGAAAAAAAAAAGAGTTAGATGCATTAGCTGCTAATAATATTTGGAAACTAATTGACAAACCACCTCATGTGAAACCCTATTGGAAGCAAGTGAGTCTATAAAATAAAGCACAAATTTGATGGTTCTATTGATATAAAGGTAGGTTGACGGCCAAAGGTTATAATCAAATAAAAGGCCTAGAATTCTTTGACACTTTCTCACATGTGGCAAAGTTGACTACGGTCAGGATTTCATTGCACTTGTTTCCATATAAAACTGGCACATTCACCAAATAGATGTTAACAATGCTTTCTTGCATGGAGAGTTACACGAGGATGTTTACATGACCATACCAGATGGTGTTAAGGCTCAACCAAATCAAGTTTTCAAATTGCAGAAGAGTTTGTACGGATTTAAGCAAGTCAAAGATTGTATGAAAGATTGACTCAACTTCTTGTCCAAGAAGGTTATCATCAATCAACATCTAATTATTCTTTGTTCACTCTTAATCACAAGGATGATTTCACAGTTATTTTGGTGTATGTCGATGACATCATAATAGTTGGAACTTCCCTTGTAGAGTTCACTATAATCAATGGCATATTAGCCACCAACTTCAAAGACCTTGGCATACTCAAATATTTTTCGGACTTGAAGTTACTCATTCTCAGGCAAGTGTATCCATTTCTCAAAGAAAGTATTGATATGATCTTCTTGCCTCATTGGGGCTCCTTGGCTCCAAACCTGCTAACACTCCCCTTGATCCCTCGACAAAGCTTCACCATGATGACAATCAACCTTTTGAGGATGTTTCAACCTATAAAAGAATCATTGAAAAACTCTTATACCTCAGTACCACTAGACCTGATATCACTTTAGCTACACAACAACTGAGTCATTTTGAACTCACTAACGAATAATCACTTCAAGGATGCTTGTAGAGTAATCGGGTACCTAAAACATAATCGTGGAAAAGGGCTCATGTTCCCTAGAAAATATGAAACACAAATTCTAGGTTATGTAGATGCTGATTGGACATGATGTTCTGAATAAGAAGATCAACCACTAATTTTTTGTTCTTTCTAGGAAACTCACTTGTATCATGGAGAGCAAAGAAGAAACAAATTATATTGAGATCAATGTTCTGAGGGTGAGTACATAGTCCAATCCACTACAACATGTGAACTATTGTGGCTCTTGTATCGATTGAGGGATCTAAACATTGAATGCAACAAACAATTAGTTATGTATTGTGATTCTCAAAGTGCAATACACATAACTTCAAAACCGATTTTTCATAAAAGAACAAAACACTTGGAGATAGATTGTCACTTTATGAGAGAAAAAGGTGCAAAAGAATGTCCTAAAGTTGCTACCTATACCAACACAAGAACAACTTGCTAATCTCTTGACAAAGCTTTGCCTCCACCAAAATTCAAGACCTTTACATTCAAGCTTAGAATAATAGATATGTATCATAGTCAAGCTTGTGGGAGAGTGTTAAATGATAATGTAGAGAAGAATCAAAGTGGTTTCAGCTAAAATGGATGGGATTAATCATAAATTTAGTAGTGTTGCTTATTACAAAAGTAATGAGTTAGTTAGACTTGTAACTAACTTAATAGAAGTTCAAAATTCTGTTATAGATGTTCATGCAGTTGGTAGTGCATGATAAATAATATGTAGCTGCAATGTAACTATATATATGATCATGTAACCTCATTGTGAAGATAAGTTGAATAATACTCTCAATTTTCTTCTTCTCTAAGCTTTCTTCACTCCTATTTTCATGGAGTTCTTGTTTCTCAACCGTGTTAGTGAGCAATTTCATTTGCATAAATAGTTGTCATCAGTTCAGCGTGAAAAAACTAAGAGATACCAATGTTCATCGAAAAGAAACCCACAAAAGAAACATGACTGCCTCTAAAAAATTCCACCACGAGGTATAGGTCCTAAAGAACCATAAATTATGTTATCAATGTAGGAAGGCACAACCAATTTAACTGAATAATGTTTTCAGCTTAACATTTCTATGATGGTCATCTACTAGAAGAACTTCAAGATTTTAAACACCAATATTGAAGAAGACATTTTACGGTTTGAAGAGTCACTGGAAATAGTAGGCATTAGTAGACACCCAAAGTAATGCTTGATAGGTAGAAATCTGAGAGTTCTCAAATTGCATTTGTAAGCTCTCAGATTTATGCTTCATCTTCCTTGTTTCCTCTATAAGTACTCCCATCTGGTCAAACATCCTTCTAAACCTTTCAAAATCTACTCTTTCCCTCTCAACTCTCCTCGTCTCATCCATGCTATTGGTATCTCACTGTCCTCCGACAAACTTTACCTCCAGCAACCACCATTGTAACACGATGATCCTAGCAGTAAATGACGAAAAAACTAACACCACAAATGATTTTGCTTCAACACGGCCACAAGTCACCCCAAATAGATTTTTTGGCTTGATGATGCAAGGTAGGATTCTTGCTCTTCGTTACAACCATACGGTCAAATGAACCCTCTGAGGCATCGCTTTTGGTTGATTTACACACATTCATTGTTACCTGTCTACCCCTTCTAACAGGCATGAACACAATTCTGCCCCAGCCACCTCCAAGATCAGCACTCAATGTTACTTCTTCAATTTCCTCATCCACTTCATTGCCGTCTTCGTGGTCGGTTTCAACAGCATCAGAATCATATTTTACTACATCTACTACTTCACGAGAAGCATCGACATCGTCATCAGCTTGTTGCAACTTCAACCAGTCCTCTGAAAAAGTATAAAAGAAATATATACAAATTAGGATTTGGTTCTAGAAAACATATAATGTCTACTTTCACAATTATTATTGAAAATAAGAAATAAAAATCAAAAACAATTTCTTCAAAATCCTTGAGACCATAGACCACTTAAAATCAGGCTTTATATTTTATTTTGAAGTATTTTAACAGAAAACAAGATTGCACGTACCGTAGTCAATTTCAAGATCCTCTGGATTTCTTTTGGCATGTTGCTCTTTAAGAGTGTCAAATGTAATACCATCAAGAGGCCAAGGTTCACTGGTTCAAGGGATCAACGAAAAATAAAAATCAGAACTACATTGTATTGAAAATACCATTGTGATCCATGTATTTAACTTTGATTACATAGGATAAACATTATCATGTCTTGTGAATAGAGATATAATATTTTGTAATTATTCTATTTATTGTTTTTAATCCTATATTAGCGTCAAGACGGGCACATGCCCTTCTGGCCGCTTTTGTTAGTGCCCAAAATCATGTAAAATAAAACACTTGCCTTGGTCTTCTTCCTCGTCTAAAAACAACATAGGAGAACTTCTCATCTTCAAAGCCACGCAAAGGCTCACCTTTTGAACGCTGCAAAATCATATAGCAAAAATAATTTGTTTATGTTAATCCTTCTTAATATTAATGAAAAGAAGAAATTAGGAATGTGAGGACAACATGACTCACTAATACAGAAAGTAAAATATGGATTAAGGGGAAACCTTGTAAGCACGCTGCGATGATGTCCTTTCCAAACGCTGAACAAAATGACAATATTTTCCAGATTTTACTAGTGGACAAGTACCATCATGAGGACACTGCACAAAAGCACCGGTCTTTTCAGTGATTTCGGTCAAATGAAAAATAACAATGGGAGGGGCAGTTAAAGACTTGGAATGATTTTGGCAATGTACTTACAGGAGCGACCACAAAAGCACCGGCCTTTTCAGTGATCAAATCTTTACAAACTTCGTTGTTTTTATTAGAAGATTTACGATGTTTCTGCAAATACAGCGAAATTCATTCTTATATAAAATATGAAGAGAAGTGCAGAACCAAAAGATAAAATACAAGGCTTGCTTATCGTTGTTAGGAAATTTCTCAAAAGATGTGGTAAACTTACTCTCTTTTCCATCCATAATATGTGAGATCTCATCTGAGCTATAATATTGGACCCATGAGGAGTTCCAGGTTCAACCAAAACCTACAAGATTTTGATTTCACAAATGAAAATAGCATTAGATACAAGATTCAAAAGAACTAATAAAAAAAGGAAAACTGTATAAAATAGAAGAGTTTCCTCAATTATTATTTTTCAAATTATGTTTTCTACCATTAGTGTTTTTCTTTGCTCCCATCACTCTTTTTTCTCTCTTACTGATTCTGTTTTAATTTCCAACAACAACAACAACAACAACCAAGCCTTATCCCACTAGGTGGAGTCGGCTACATGGATCTGTTTTAATTTCCAAAAAATATTTAAAATAACACATTCCAGTTTCCAGTGAGTAAAATAAGTTTGCAAGAGACAATGTTAGACTTCATCCGACAACAAAGTTATAAGCTTGAAATCATACCAGAACATCTTGTGTTAGATCCCAAAGCTGGCGAACTATGGTAATACGATCCTTTAACGAAGGGATCTCTCCCAGTACATAAGACTTCATGCCACCAAAACAGAGCACAAACAATTAGTATTACTACATGTAAACATACACAAAGAGCATACATGCCTAATGCTTGAAAAAATAATATAAAACAAAAAACAAACTTACAGCAATTACAAGGTCATGCCCTCTCTCCGATTTACCAATACTTTTAGACAGAGCTTGAATGCTGTCATAGCTATGAATAAGTGGCAAATTTTTGAGCCCTACATAATCAACAGCAGAAAAAGATCAATGTAGCAATTGTCATTCTTCGGAAATATAGAAACGGAGGGAACTCAATACATTCAATTCATAATAGGGAAATTCATTATTTAAATTAATGTGCTATAAATAGCATTATATAAGGTTGAAATCCTGGGACAGAGTTGATATTAAGGACTATCACCACATTTCAGTGACTGCTATGAACTAGGTACCATGACTAAAAATGTTCACAACCTTTAACAAAAAACAGTGAGACCTGCCACAGTCAGAATAGCTTTCTTAAAAATCAAAACTTTATGATTTGTGACAAACTCATATAATAGAGAGAACGATTTTTCTTTCTTTAAACGTTTTCCTTTCCAAGTATATTATTCATCTTAAGGGAGAAAATCCTGCTTATCCTCAGTAAGGTTGGTGTTACTTCTTCTAACAACTGCTTGTAAACTGAAATAAGCCCGTGCAGACGATAACATGTCAACGCACAATTTCTAAACATGCAAACAAAAGAAGCCCATTCATACGATAACATATCAAGATGTGTGTTGTAACTTGTACCTCGTCCTGATAAATTATATTTGCACTATAACGCAACAGTTATTTACTGATTACTCACCCGAGTATGCATTAGGACATAAAAAATGCTCACCCGCCTATACGAATAATGTCAAATTATGAGGAACTAGTTAATCCATAAACCATGCGCTTCAAATAACAGTTACATGATTTCATCAAGATAGTAAATGTACATCTTAGTAGATCCTCTTCCATTCCTTGAAATCTAAATTCCAAGCTGGGCTGTTACCTTTCTACCCTTCTACTAAAACTAACTACTATTCATCATTTCTCACATGAATTTAAAATCCTTAAGAATAAGAAAACTATCTTGTTCAAATATGTTATCAGCATTTACCTTGTATGAGACTCTGACCTGCACGCTGCATTGACTGCGATGGTTCTATTAAATTTACTTTCTCTAAAGATTTTGGCCAAACTTCTCGTAATGCCCTTTGTTATCAGATTTGAAAGAGAACAAATAAATTCAAGAACAATTCTATATTTAAAATATCAAAGTTAACCATTCAACGGCAAAAGCTCAAGAGTCTTTTACCAGAAAGCCGAACCAGTCCCAGCACCAAAATCTAAGACCTTGGTTGGGGAGAAACCAGGAAGCCTTCTACGAACCTAAGAAGACAGCGTTGAGATTGCAGTAAGAAGTTAAAGGGAGCATAAATCAGTTCATACTGTCTCAATATAGTAATCATGGATGCACTCAAACACCATCTTTCACGCATGCAATTTTACTTTTATTTTGTTTTAACATACTCCATCCATTCCTATTTATAAGCAAATTTCATCTATTTATTTTGTCAGTCAAGTAAAGGATTAATATAAAACAAAAAAAAAAAAACTCAAATCCATTTCACCTTATTTTGTCATAGTTTTTAACACAAATTATTTAATTTTGATTATGTTTACGACCTAGACCTACCTCTTTAAGTACTCTGTAACAAGCAGAGTAAACGGCAGGCATTCGAGAAGCCACATAAGCAATTGTCTCATCATTTCTGTACGTGAGACCAATGTCACCATAGGAGCTCGTAATCTTCCAACGTTTTGACTGCTCAGAAGACTTTAAAGGGTCTTCAACTATCTCCCTTGATGTGGTGGTGGCCAGCTGCAGATTGACATTCTTGATTTCATTGAATGACTGGGACAGTCTCAATACCTTCCTCTTCATATATGGTTCTTCCTGCTCTATAATCCCAATAACACCATAAAAAATTGCAATCACACAAATACGAATACAAATAGCTAAAATAATGTGAAAAAGTAAATCCAGTAAAAACAAAGGACCTCGAAGATACTTCTTGATGGCATGGCGGAGATGTACAGGGACAGTGAGACATCGTTGAGATTGTTTGGCTGCACTGCGGAGGGTTTCCGAGGTGACAATTTTCTGCGCAGCTTCAACTATTGTCTGGGTAGCCATTCCGGCCCGCGATTTAACAACCCTCTCCTAATGGTCCAAGTAACAAGTTTTGTATCACCGTGAATTACTATGTTAGCAAATGATTTGGACAAATAAAACCTCATCAAGGCACATACACTACACCCAAAAAGGAAAATCTAAGAAACAAAAAGATAACATTTTTCCACACCAAATAGTCAGTTCATTTTCTTCTTCATTCCATTAAAACTCATAGAAATAGAAGCCTTAACAATTAAAACAAAATTATTTGTACGGAGTCATTGCACAAAACAATAATCCTTTGTTTTTCTCCAAAATGAAACAAAATCAGAAACATAAATAGGGTTTATAGTTTAGGGTTTAGGGAGACTTAAAGATAGATAGTTAAATCCATCAACAATTCCATTAAACAAATCTTGATCTTCAACACAATACACTGAAATAACTTCTAGCTATGAAAGCGAATTTCCATACCTGCTTGTTCAAATTAGTTTTGATAGGGAACTCAAATCCCCATTCAAAATTATGGAATTCAGATTTTTCAGATTGGAAACATTAAACAGAAGATAACGGCAAGAGACCTCTACTCAGATTGCGGCGACGGCGAGAGACCTCAATTGAGGTTGTGGCGGCGGCGACGACGATGAAGGTGGCTGTTGGTGGAGCAACATAGACATGGTGGTTGCATATAGTTTTTATTCATTTTTGTCTTTAAAAAAATCATGGACACGTGGTTGGTTCTGGACTGTATGATTCATCTGGCGGACCATATTAATTGGAAGGCATGGTGCTTTTTCCATTTTAAAGCATGCAATCCCGATTCGATAAACCTCTCTTAAGCCCTTCTTGATTTTTTATTTATTTATTATCTTTCTTTTGATATTAAAATAAAACTTGTGATTAAAAAAATTAATGTTTGAATTGATAATAATATCTAATTTGTTAATAATTAATTATTGAATTTATTTGGTGTAAAAATTTTACATTGTCATCAATCACTCTTATAAATTTTGTCACATCATAATATAAATTTAAAGTTAATAATTCTTATTAGATGACATTATAAAATTATTTTATAATATCGATATATATTAATTAAACTCTTAATTAGTTTAATTTTTAAATTCAAATTTTTAATCGAATAATACTACATATTTTCTATTTATTATTGTCTGTAACAAATAAAATTAAGAGGTTAATTGGAATATATAGTTAGTGTAAAATTATTTTAAACTGTCATTCAATTAAAATTAATTTTTGTATACATAAGCATATGAATTAAAAATAAAAATAATACATTATAATTAATTATTATAATTATTTTTTTTATTTTTTTTCTTTCTCATTTTTCATGCTTATGTAAGAAAAGAATTCATTTTAATAGGATGACAATGTAAAGTAATTTTACACTCATATAGTATATTCTAATTAATCTCTTAATTTTATTTGTTACAAACAATAATAAATAAAAAATATGTAATAATATTTCTAAATATTAATTTCTAAAATTAATTAACCAGAGTTAGATAAATAATTAAAAGTTAATATACTTAAAAGTTTAAATAAATAAATTTATAAGAAAATCACAAAATAATTCTACATTTCAAAACATTAGTGTAATTTTTTTAAAGGAACAGTGGTATTATTATTATTAATATATTAAATATATAAATTCAAATTATTTAAGTTTTTAGTAGTGCTCAAAATTAAAATATTTATTTTATGGTTTGGAGCAATTTTAAAGTAAAAAATTATCTAATCTAAAAATATAATTATTTGTGATTTGATTTACATTTGGATATCTAGATTAAAAAAATTGATGTGATTTGATTTAACTTAAATAGATTTTTGGATATTCAAATTAAATATTATAATTTTTTATTATTTATGCATGTGAAATTCGATGATGTGGGCTTTTTGATGTGAATGTTTTTTTTTGGCGTGTGTACATTTTTAGTTCTTAGTGTCTTTGTGTTATACATTTAATTTAAGATAATATGTGAATTTTTTATGATGCTCTTTGTTACCTCGTCCTTGTAGTTGAGGTTAAATGCATTTTGCATTCGATGTTAAATGTGTTTTTTTAGTAGTGTGAATATATGTTTAAAAGTTGTGGTAGTGCCTAATAAATAGATTTTAAAAATCAATATGGTTAGGTAGCTAGTAGACATACCAAACTTACTTAATCAACTTAGACATAGGTGGTTAAAGTCATAGTGATAAACATAAAAATAAAATAAAAAATTTGACTTGAAGTGTGACGGTGTTAATAAGTGTTTAGACATAAAGGAATATTAAAAAATCATTGCATATTTTCACGTTGTTAACAAACAACACCAGATTTAATTCTTATCATAAATATCATATCACCACACTATATCACAAATATTGAATGAATTATTAAATAAATCATATTTCTATCGTAACTCCAAATCTTAAAATGAATCTCTATTAATTTTTTTTGTTACTTAACCATAATCCGTGTTATTATAGATCAAGGTTAAGTACAAACAAATTTTATTTAAAAAATAGAAAACTTAACATCCTCTCATTTCTCTTAAAAATTTTCTGGAATGAAACACCTTTTATTCACAATGAATAAAACTTTCACCCACCTAGTTTTTACATGGGTTTCAAGTTCAGAAATTAAACTTGGGCCATAACATTTCTAGAGATATACAAAGTTTTATCGATAAGATTGTTCTCAAACTGGTTGATTTTTCTATGAGGGATGTTCTTTCCACCCTTATATGTACATACTACACCCTTGAAAATCTAAAATTGTCCTTTATGCATCCTGAGATGCATTTTCGAACGCCCCCAAAATCATGTCAACCTTTTCTTTTTCGAGTTTCACCCTTGTGTTTTAAAAAATTATGGTTCGGAGATACATCTATGTATACTTTTTGAGTGTATCCAGAGATGTATCTCTGAAATGTCCCCTGAATCATTTTAGAGCATCACCATTGTCCTAATATTATAATTTGTTGAGGTTAAATTATATTAAAGTAAAATAAAATTATATTAAATGTGTTATAATTTAGTGGGAACCCAAACAAACTTCCATTGTCATTTTACATTTTCTGTTTTAGGGATTTCCTCTTCATGTATTATTACCCATTCGTAGGTCAAGTTTTTCATCAAATAAAAAATTTCTTTCTTAAAGTTTTCTTCAATATTTTATTTTTCTGCTTGTTTGTAAAATGTTGATTTTTTTTTGTTAATAATGCATTAAAACTTTGGGAGTAATAAAAAGCTTTCAAAATATTTTTTTTTTAATTTTAAAATGTCTAAAGGATATTGTCGGCTTCCAGTATTGCATCCGGTACCATAATGTAGCACCTTGTCATACTCCAACTTCGTCCCACCATCTGCATAACATAGTTAAAGTTTTTTCATTTGCATTGGCATATCATGACCATTGCATTTGGTTATGTTTTTCATCAAGTCAAGATCATTCCTCTGCATATAGTGGATAAGAGTCAATAGTTTGACTTTTCCTTTGATCATCATATATTTAATATTCATCCATGCCTAACTTCTTTCACAAGCCTTCATATGTACTATCTTTGTCTTAATGCATATCTCATGTCACATGCTAGGTTATTATTTATTTTGCATCTCTAAGTCAAACATTTTGATTATTAAGGATTTTTTTAAAATGGTTCTTCACAAGAGATTACAAATTTGGTTTTTGTCACATTACATTATTGTATTTTGCCTATTGCATTTTGAAACTTCATTAAAGAAAACTCAAATGCATTTTTAAAATCATTGTGTTGTATCATATTTTAACTAATTTTTATTCACTGCTTTGCATATACATTTCAAATTTAATTAAGGCATGTGAATAAAATGAGATTTTGACTTGAACTATATTTTGACTAAAATAAGACTCTTGTTTGGTTTATATATTGAATGAAACAAATGTGAATAAGACAAAATCACAATGAGACAAAATAAGAATTTTTATTCACATTAAATTATACACATGTTTACATTACACATGAATACATCGGCATGAAGAAAAAAAACAAATGAAACAAATGAATTCCTCATCATTTTGCCACGACATCAACATCATCAATATCATCTTCAAGCTCATCCATCATCCTCAAGCTCACGACTGTCCTCATGCCATCCATATACAACACACAAATAATAAATTAAGTTAATACACAATACCAAGCATCATCATTCCAGTATACACACATGATACATACTTGAACATACATACACAATACATCAAAATTGGGACCATTCAAAATCATTGTTACCATCCTTTCAAACTCACCTTATTTCATCTTAATTTCATGTGAATTTCAACAAACACAAACCAAATGAAATAGAAATTCACACCCAAACAGAAATGGATTTTCACTCAATCTCCACCCTTGATCAAAACATGTTCACACAGATAGCTAACCCAACCTCAAATTGCCACACTTATGTTGGAAATTCACCTCACACCCTATGAAGAATTCCCTTCAATCTTGATCTCAAGATTGATGAACAAACCCACAATATGATAGTAATGGTAATAACAAGTAATTATCAAGAACAACAAAAGGAAAGAAGAACAAACAAGAAAGAGAAGAATGAGAAAAGAAATATTTGGAGAGAATGTGTTACCCACAATTGTGGAATTTCTTATTGCTTATAGAACTTTCACTTGCTCAAACTGCAACTGTGAAATCTGTTTTATGTTGTGTTTGAATACAAAGCAAGGCACCTTATTTATAGTTTTAGGTTTACAAAAACCCAAAACATAAAAGGCCCAAAATATTCAAATCAAATCTAATCATATCAAATCAAATTTGTTTACACTATGAATTATATTTAACACACCACCTAATTCATTGTGTCTAAACTCTCTACGTTCATCATGGCTCTTAGTCTTCTAAAGGCTTCAACTTGTACTCCCTTTCGTCATGATATCTGCAATCTGATTCTCAGTTCTGCAGTGTTCCAACTTCATCTTCCCTTCTGCTACCTGCTCTCGAAGATAATGGAACCTCATT